AGTACTTAATTCGTTCCAGAGGTCTGTTCTTAACCTGAGGTACCACTTTAGCTAATGGGGCCTCCCACTGCCACCGCTCCGCCACCGCACGATTTCTGTTCTCATCCTGAAGCAAAGTTCTTAACCCGAGGTACTATTTCTGGGTTAGTGGAGTCTGTAACCTGAAGCGTCTGTAACCCGAGGTATCACTATGGATAGATGATAGATAGATAGATAGATAGATAGATAGATAGATGATTACCCAGCACATTTTTGGGGGTCATATGCGTGATCTCTTGCTATGTCAGACTTTATTGCATATTGGCTTTGGTAGATTTATTTTTCCATCAGCATCATTGTACTTCATAGAAAAGAAACTGTCGTATCCTCAAAGGGGAGAGAAAAGCCCAACAACAAACCTATTTTCCAATAGGAGGAAGTCAACGTTCATTCTTTCTACATCACCATTGAATCTTTGATTTGTGTACACAGTCGTCCATAAAATAGCATTATAGAAGGAAATGCGATGGGTTCCAAGAAGTGAATAGCAAAGCTATATGCAAAGGTAATCAGCAGTAAGTAATATATTCTTTGCCATCAAAACACCAGTCACAGAAGCTTCTGCTTATGCAAGCAGGAACTTATCTCTCTGATGGCAATGGTGATTGCCTTCCCAAAGGAAGGTGCAAGATATTACAGAATGAAAGTTAACATATTTTATGGATAGTAAGTGTTGCAAGATGAGTTCAATTGAGCAGTTACCCTTCAGACTTAGGAAAACAAAGATTATTGAAACATTTCAGTGTTAAATTGTGATTCCAAAATGAAGTTATTAGAGAGCAAATGAGCTGTATTTGTGGCATGTGGATTTTGATTAAACTATATTAATTAAACACTGGGATGACATAACTGAAAAGCCTTGCCTTGGCGGAAGAGACACCAGACAATGCAGCAAAACTAGTGGTTACAGGATTAAAAATAGCTCTTGGCATTGGTAAAATCAAATCAGATATCTGTTAAAGTACCAAAAGAGCAGGATGTAAATGAAAAATCAATTGAAAACATTTCCCCAAATTTTACTCGCATTGCATTTACATTTTTTTTTAAGCCCCAATTGGCTATTTGTGATTTGAAGAAATAAGACATCCAATTCAATAATTCAAGGATTTCCTTAAGTCTAACATCAATTTTGATCTAATTTCTACATGACGGACTCTGCTCAATAAGACATATGTGACAGACTCAACTTCCCTAGTCTCACAAGGATTGAAAGGGATACCATTGAATTCTTCCTTGCAATACTACAGAAGATAAAACCTTGAACCTCTGTCATAATGTTAAAGCATATCTCTAAGGCTTGCCCACAGTTTCCTTTTGCCCTGCATCTTCTAGGCACAGGTCTGCACTTTTCCATTCTGTGTCCGAGTGCTTCCCCCCACCACTTTCTCCAGGAAATTCTTATCTTTATGGCTGAATCAGAGCAAATGACAATTTAGATTTGCAGGAGATTTCCATTTGCTCTGATTCCGTGGTAAAGAGTGGCTTTTCGTCGGGAAAGGGGCAGAGCAAAAAGAAAGAAAGAAAAACTGCTCAAACAGGGAGCTTTAAAACACAGACCTGTGGCTTGAAATACGGAGCAAAGGTAAGCACTGATGAATCCTAACAAGAAATAACTCAATCTCAAACCTTTATTGGCATATAGACCAAATTCTGAAAGGTTCAGTGCAATAAAATCACTCTGCAAAATATGCAGCAAGGAATATTTCATACTTCTACATATATATTTTTCCATTTTCATTTCTTAATTTGTATTCATATCTATAAATAAATATATTACTTCCTAAAGACTGCATGCTTTAAAGTCTACATCCATAGCTCTCTGAACGATTTTTTCTGTTTAGCCCTCATCATTGGGACTGGGGGCAGGGAGGCAGATCTAGTATATCTTAGGCCTAAACAATTTCATCCATGCAGAAACATCAATTATTTTTTGCATAGGTGACCGAAGAACCCTGTGATCTGAAAACAATATAGCCAAATCCAAAAGTTCAAGGCAGTCAGACAGAATCTTTCTATAAATCACTTTGAGTTACTTTTGTGAAAACAAATTATAATAATTAGTACTACTGTATAATGAATAATAATAATAATATACTACCAAGGTCACTACAAAATGAATAAAAGCAGAGGTATTTCATATCCTTTACACACTACTCTCATGGTTAAAATCGAATCACAAAAGTGTTGCGCTTGTCTGCCTGCATTTCAGCTTGGCTATAAAAATTCCAGATTGAAAACAGAAGTCTGCTATCAATGACCAATGTCTCCAACCCTGCCCATAACATATTCATTTCAAAAAACCCTTTGGATTTGAGTGCTTTCTGCAAGATGGGACAAGTGGAAACCATGATCTATGGCTGATTGGCCTGATCTAATGCCAATTTGTTCATCTTCCAGAATGTTTACTTCATCCAGCCCAAAACTTGATTCCATAAAAGCCTAGCAAAATTTTTGCCAATTACAGAAATAAGACTAATTGAACATAACAGGATATGCTGACCCATTGGATCAGGCTGATCATTGAAAATCTTGTTAATTACTGTCAAGGTCATGGCACCAAGGGAATTGGCATCTCCATAGTGAGTTCTACACAGAGTCACATATGCAAGCACACCATATTTATTGTTCAGAAGTGGGGTGGGGTACCTGTGGACATCCAAATATTGTTGGCTTTTAACTCCAGTAAGCCCCAGTGGCTAATGGTAAGGGATTATGAGAACTGTAGTCCAGCATTGTCTAGAATGTCAAAGGTTTTCCATCATTGCTTCAGATTGACTCACAGTATAAGTTGGATAGAAGTTGGTGCTATTGTATCTTAAGTTTCTGTTGTCCTTCATATACAGCTTGTGTATGTGTAGCAGACATAACATCTAGACTTGTTGTAAAGTAAGGTAGAGTTAGAAGGTACCAAACTGCAAATTTGAAACACATTAGAGAAATAGTCCCACTCTATTCTGCCTTGGCTAGTCCACACCTGGAATACTGTGTCCCGTTCTGGGCACTACAATTAAAGAAGGATATTGACAAGCTGGAATGTGTTTAGGAGAGTGAGACCAAGATGATAAAGGGTGTGGAAACAATGTCTTATGAGGAACGGTGAAGGGAGTTGGGTATGTTTAGCCTGGTGAAGAGGAGATGCCCCTCAGAATCCATTTCAACTCTGCAATTCTGAAAACAAGTGTTCTACCACTAAACTAGAGTCCCTCCCCTATGTTCTGGATGCCTGGCAGTATTTTTCTGGCATGCTTAAAATAGGGGTGTGCATGGCCCCCTAAACCCACCTTGTATCCATAGCTGTCCTTTTTGAAAAATGTCCTCAGTCTACTTTAATTTGTGATTCGGGTAACAAGCTGTACTCTATAAAACAAAGCTATGTATTCCCCTTTCACTCTTAAGGGAAATCTAAAATCTTTAAAATGCTGTAACCCTTT